GAACAATATTTGCAATACTAGAAGGAAATACAATATGCTTTTGAATAACGCTAATTAGACAGTAGTCCAACTAAAAGCACCATTGAAAAACATTAATTGAAATATTACTATAAGGTACAAAGTTGAAAATTGGTAAATCGGATTTTTTCAAAAAGACATTTAGAATAGCGTACAAATTATTAACTTCCCGACGGATAAGTTTGTTTTCATCAAAAAATCTGATTTGCTAATTTTATGTTTTCTCGACGTTTCAAAGCATTCTGAATCGAATGAGACCAAATTTGGAAAAAGTATGTGTGTGTGTGTATGTGAATAGATTTTTCGCCGGAAATCGACGTTTTCTAATAAAAACAGTTGAATCGATTTCAAAAATTTATAAGCCATTCGATGTATCTCGATGAGGACAAACCGTTTCTTTGCAAATAGCAAAAAAGTGAGAAACTTTTCGTCCACGTTTTAGCTCACAGTTCTGAATCAATTTTGAAAATTCAAAAACCGTTCGAAAGATATTGGTTGGGAATTGTGCTGATGAGTTTCTGGTACAAATCGGTGGGGCCGTTTTCTTGTAATAAAGTGTTGAAAAAAATTTTCGGCGATTTTCATTATTATTTTTTTGACGGTAGATACCATAGTCTTCTAGATCATACTGAAATATTACGGCCCTACGACAACTCGTTTAGCTTTAAAAATTCGTCAAAGTTCGCAAAAATTAGTATCGTTTTTTGTCAAAATTAGACTTTTCATCGCCGTTTGCTCAAAAACGCACCGATTTCAGAAATTTAAAAACCATTTGATGTATCTCGATGAGGATTATCGTTTGTCAGTTTTGTGAGACGATCTGCCGAGCCATTGCTTTATAATTTGAAAAAACGTGTTAAACTTTTCGTCCACAATCAAGCTCATACTACCGAATCGATTTTGAAAAATCAAAAACTGTTCGAAGTATATTAGTTGGGAATGATACTGATTAGTTTTAGATCAAAATCTACCGAGCCATTTTCTTGTAATTAACTGGTCAAAAAAATTTAAGCCGATTTTTATCGATATTTTGGCGATATATATCATGGAACTCACTGAAATATAACGGCTTTGCGACAAGTAGTTTAATTTTTAAAACTTTTCAAACTTTGAGAAAATGAGTAGTTTTTTCACGTTTGTTAAAATTAGAATTAGATGATTTACTTGGTATAATGATACAGTCTTAATGAACATATACGAAACCATTAAAGTCCTACGGAAACTGATTCAATTGTAAAAATTGTTGATTTGCGAAAATTTGCTTTTAGAAAATACTCCGAATTAACGTGTTCGTTTGTTTTCAATTATGTGTAATAAATCCACTCGGAATACTTTTAATCACTCATAAATTATTAGGTGCGCAACTAAGTTCTCTCTGTTTGTCAGTATATGGCTGTAGCGGGGGTTGGTCGATTTTGACAAATCCAAAACGTTTTGAAATAAGCTTAGGCATATGGTAAACAAACTGCTGCGAAACATAAGTGATTTCGTTTTTGCATTATATACTTCTGATCAAGTGAAAATGTCTAATTTTTATGTTGTCTTAATGTCTTGTTTGTTGTCTTAATTTCCAAACAATCGTCATTTGCGGGGAGTGTTGATTTTCGTCTTTCATTCGAAAAAAAAAACGGCAGCTCAAGTGCATCGAGAGTTACGGAAATGCTGCTCTGAGCGAAACAACATATCGTGATGGGTTTCGTCGCTTCAAAGACGGTGATTTTGATGTGACGACCGCCCTCGTAAAGGAAAGCCAAAACCTTCAAAAAGGGTAAATTGAAGGCCTTGCTCGAAGAGGATTCGTGCCAAACTCAAGTAGATCTTGGTTCAGAATTAGGAGTTGCCCTTCAAGCCATTTTCAAGCGATTGTATGCGTTGGGGATGATTCAGAAGCAAGAAACTTGGGTTCCTTGTGAGTTGAAGCCAAGAGACGTCGAGCGTCGTTTTTTCACCTGTGAACAACTGCTCCAGCGGCGAGAAAAGAAGGGGTTCTTTGTCACATCGTGACAGATAATAAGAAATAAGTACATTACAGCAATCCAAAGAGGAGAAAATTTCGGTCCTGCTGAATATTCACAGCGAAGGTTATGCTCTGCATATGGTGGGACCAGGTCAGTGTTATTTATTATGAGCTGTTGAAACCGAGTGAAACCATCACTGGATAACTGTATCAAACTCAATTGTTTCAATTTAGCACTGCGCGAAAAACAACCACAATACGAGCAGGGTGATTTTACTGCATGACAATGCTCGGCATCACATTTCCAAGCCTGTGAAAACTTATTGGGAACGCTCTCAAATGAAAAGTCCTACCCCACCCTCTATATTCCTCAGATATTGCACTGCCCAATTTTTACTTGTTCCGTTTGATGGCCTGGCTGATTTTTGGATAGTCTCAAAAGACGAACACTTCTGGCGCCAATGTATTCGAGCTCTGCTATAAAGATGCGTCTAGCGATGGGCAATACTTTGAAAGAGTTTTTATATAATAAAGTTACATTTTCATTGAAAAAACAGCGAGAACTTAGTTGCGTACCTAATAATTTATTTTTTAATTGATTAAGTCGATTATTTACACATATCGGGAAGTTCATATAAATTGCCTGAAAGCAAAATACCAATACCGACTAGTTTAAATACCAAAATGGGGTCGATTTTTGACTATTTATAACGACATGACAATAAATAAACTTAATGAACCTAATATGCAGTGCGACACAAATATCTTTTATTTAGATAGTTATTCCAAATTTCTTTCGAAAGAAACATAAATTCGCGCGAAGGATTTGCAATTAGTTCCACATATGTGTATGAAGCGGTTACGAATATAAACGATGTGTCATTACTACTTTTATTGTAATATAGTATAGATGCAATGTTAAATATTGTATAGGAATTAAAACAGGGCCGCACTTAACGCAGAGCTGCAGTTGGGTGTCGCCGTTCAGCCCTCCTACGGAGAAAGAAAAATTATTCTTTGTAATTTATGATGCGTACTTTTCTTCCTCTTTTCGTTGTGTATTCTTCGAGGTTGGGTGTTCTTCTAAAGTGAAATACACAGGTTTCAGTCTGTCTTTAGAAAAAGATTTTGGTCCAGTTTGTAAGTCTCTTCTTTCCAAAATTTTGCAAGGTCCCTTTTAGAGTTATGTCAAAGTGGATTTTATCATATCTGGTCTAATAAATATATGACTTGATTTGTCTAATAAATATATGACTTGATTTGTCTTAAAGACCTGTCAAGGTCTTTATGAACAAAAGTTTTTCTCGGGCTGTGTGATGACGCATATTGTGGTTTCAAATTTTTGAAGATCTTATGTAATTTGCATTTAACAGTAGTTGTTGTTATATCTGTGGAATCTTTAAATAATTGACAAGGAAGTCTTGAGAGTTCTCCGAAGGTGAGTTCTGCAATTGAACTCTTTAAGTCTTCTTTTGCAACAGCACATAATCCTAACAAAACCGATGGTAGCGTTCCTATCCATGATTCGATTTCGTGACACATAAGGGCGGATTTGAATGTTCTATGAGTTTTTTAAATAAGGCCCTTGGACTGCGGATGGTACGATGATGTTTGTATTAGTTTTATTCTACAAAACTCTGTCATATTTCGAAATATTGCACCATAAAAATGTATTCCTCTGTCCATAGTTACTGTTGCCGGTATTCCAAATCGTGATATCCAACATAAAAGAAAGGCCCAATGTACGGTTTCTGCAGTGTTATCTGAAAGTGGTTACATTTTTATCCACCGGATGTATATATCAAGCAGTTGAGTAGATATCGTGCATTTTTGCAAATTCGTAGAGGACTTGCAATGTCAAAATGCACTTGTAAAAATCTTGCGGATGGAACTTGCGGAACATCAAATTTTTATAATGGTGTAATGGTATGTCTGCTTATTTTGCTGCATTGAATTGTATACAGTTGTTTGACCAAATTCGATAGTTTCGGCGAATATTTGTCAAAAAAAAAACGTTTGGACACCATTTTGATTGTTGCTCGTACACCTGGGTGATTTAGGTTGTGCAATCTGTCGAAGATCTTTCATCTTAATGCTGCAGAAACAAACGATTTTGGTAATTTCTGTGATAGTCAAAAAATATCTTGTGCGTTGTTTCGGGTATGGCTTGAAGTTTGATCTGCAATGAGCTATCCATTTTGGGCTTTGGCACTTTTGGTAATTCTTAACGGTTAACTGATTGATTTAATCCTTGAAAACGAATCAGAATATTCGCAATCGGAATATTTTTGGTTTTGCTTACGTGTCTAACATCTGTCATAAATTGTGACATGTATGTTATTTGATTGAGTTGAACTGGTGGTAGGCGATCATGATTTTGCAGAAAAACATTGACAAGTGGTTTGTGGACGGTTAGTAAAATTTCGACCAATTATTGAAGTATTGAAATGCTTTATATCCTGCTAAGAGCTTGCTGTAGTATGTTGACCATTTTCCTTGTTTTTCTGATTTTTTTTGGAAAAGTAAACGAGAGGTTTCCATTCCCCGTTTGTATATATATTGTAGTACCGCACTCTGATGCATCGGTAAATAAAGCTAGTTCCGCGTCAGGCAATGAATGCCCTTGTAAGGTAGCTTCAGAGAGGTTCTTTTTACAAGCATCGAAAGCTGCAGCAAGTTTTTCATCCCAAGTATGTTTTTAAGAGGGCCAATACTATATATGTATGTATGCGTGTGTGTGTAAGAATGGTGAATTACATGCTAGAAAGGAAAAAAATGATAAAATAATAATAATAAGCTTAATAAAAATTATTATTAAGGTATTATGAACTAATTTAATTAACATTGTTTTTAGATAACGTAACTTTTTGTTAGACTCCGAGACACATTGAATTTTGGAATCAACGATAAAATGTGGTACACAAGACGTTACAACATATTGAGCAAATATAGATTCATTCAGTACATTAATAAAAACATGCACAGTTGCACATACCATAATTTTAAGTATATTGTATTATTACAGAACTGCAATCGATGATGGTCTATCAATGAATGCCGATCGGTGCCGGCGATTATTCCGTGAGATAATTGAAGGTTTGGCGCATATTCACCAACAAGGAATGATACATAGAGATCTAAAACCCGTTAATATATTCATTGATTCCCGAGATCACGTCAAAATTGGAGATTTTGGTCTAGCCACTACCTCTGTTATTGCACGCAACGTAGAATCACAAATACAACCCAAGGGTAATACAAAATATATAATTTTACATTTACAGAAATATTTAATTTTTATTTATTTAAATATTATAATTTTTTTTTCAAAAATCTGTATATTTGTAAACTACTATACTATATCTATTATTGTTCTAATGCTTGATAAGCTTACTTGATAATGTAACTAGTTAGTATTGGTGTTTTGCCTTGAGGCAAGTAACATGAACTTAATCAATAAAATATAAATTAATTTATGAGTGATTAAAAGTATTTCGAGTGGATTTATCACACGTCATTGGAAACGAACGAGCACCTTATCGTTATACCAAGTATATCGTCTAATTTTAATTTTAACAAATGTCAAGAAATCTACTTATTTTCTCAACTTTGATGAATTTTAAAATTTAAACTACTTGTCGTAAGGCCGTAATATTTCAGTAAGTTCTAAAAAACAATGATATAAAAAAGAGTGCGCGTAAGGATCACACGCGATTGAAGTAAAACTTATTTGCTACTGTACAAAGTAGCATTTTTAAGTTAAGTAAAAATAAATACATCATATAACAAATTTGAATCATGTATTCAAATTATTTTACTTTTTCGCTGTCGATATAATGTCGTTCTTTGGACAGCTGTAATATTTTCCAATGGAAAAAATATTTTCTATTTTAATAACTTCAAAGATTTATAGAAACTACGGATAATACAGAAACTAGTGGGGTGCATGGTATTGTGCCTTAAGGCAAATTGCTGGAACATTCCGTACCGTTATTAAAAATTTTGGTACGGAACCTAAAAAAAAACTACACAAAATGTGTACACATGATTAAAATCTCTATAAACTATCTGAAAATTTGATAATAAACGTTTTTCATTGCCAAATGTCATTTTTTTAACTTAATTTCAATGAGAGTCCATAACCGCTAGACCTGCCTTCCCAAAAAATCGATCAGTTCTTCATCTTGTCAATACAAGTAAAATGTTTTTTGAATTACTAAAATCGGACGCTCCCTTCTCTTAAAAACTGAGTTACCGTTTTTGACACATTTTGTCCCGTATCTTTTATTTATTTATTTACATATATACATTATTTTCATATCTCAGTCAGACAGAGGTGCCTGGTATGAGAGATTATGAAAAACAGTTTTCATATAATATATACATTTCATTTGACTATAATATCTATTTCATTAATATAATATATATATATATATATATATATATATATATATATATATATATATATATATATATATATATTTTGTATGATTCTGAATTTGATGTTGACATATGTATTAACAAAGTCTAATAATCGGGCATAACATCAATAAAAAACATGAATTTCTTTCAAAATTTATTTTAAATCCATACGTTTCGGCTATAATCCTAGCCTTCATTCAGTGGAAACTAAAAATAAATTAAAAACTAAAACATTGAATTGGAGTGAAAGAAAAAAATAAAATAGTAATTAGTACTTACAATTAGTTGATCTTAGTGTTAAATTGGAAAATTTTATTAATCCATGGTATTAGGATATTGTAATGCACTACACTATGTATTATAAACATTAACTTGAAATTACACAATATTTTCACAAAATACTGATTTGAAAAAATCACAAATGATGAATAGTGTGTTATTCGTAGACTGGTTGAAGATGTAATGGAGAAAGTCATTTTTTAAAAAATATTTTTACCAAGATTCTGCACATGTGTGGAACGAATTGTAAAACCTTTGCGCGAACGCTTTTATTGTTTTGTAAGAAATTTGGAAATGTTATCTAAATAGAAGAGATTTGTGTCGCACAGCGTGTTGAGTTCATTCCGTTTATTTATTGTCTTATTGTTATAAATAGTTAAAAAAGATCCCTCTATAATTCTTCGTTTAAATAAATTTTGTTCAAATTGTAGTATAGTCGGATTAGAAAAGTCCATATTGTGTTTTAAGGTGTATATATGGTCTGCAAGAACAGTTTGAATTGTTTGGGGTTTTTTGAATTGTTTTTATGTTGTTGTAACCGTTTATTGAGGTTCTGGCTAGTTTCTCCTATGTAAATTAAATTACAGTCTAAACAATTTATTTGATAGACGAGATTTCTGAGTCGTTCGATATTAAATGGGGTTTTTGTTTTTGTAAAAATAGTGCTAGTAGTTGTACTAAATTGGTTACAAGTCGAAGTCCAGATTTATAAAAAAGTTTTTTCCAAGGAACATACAATTCTTTAATGTATGGCAAACATATTACACCAGAATGAGTTTCTGAGTCAGGTAAATCGTTATGTATGTTTGAATAAAATGGACAATTGCACAGTACATAACGATTTACCTGACTCAGAAACTCATTCTGGTGTAATATGTTTGCCATACATTAAAGAATTGTATGTTCCTTGGAAAAAACTTTTTATAAATCTGGACTTCGACTTGTAACCAATTTTAGTACAACTACTAGCACTATTTTTACAAAAACAAACCCCATTTATATCGAACGACTCAGAAATCTCGTCTATCAAATAAATAGTTTAGACTGTAATTTAATTTACATAGGAGAAACTAGCCAGAACCTCAATAAACGGTTACAACACACATAAAAACAATTCAAAAAACCCCAAACAATTCAAAACTGTTCTTGCAGACCATATATACACTTTAAAACACAATATGGACTTTTCTAATCCGACTATACTACATTTGAACAAAATTTATTTAAACGAAGATTATAGAGGGATCTTTTTTAACTATTTATAACAATAAGACAATAAATAAACGGAATGAACTCAACACGCTGTGCGACACAAATCTCTTCTATTTAGATAACATTTCCAAATTTCTTACAAAACAATAAAAGCGTTCGCGCAAAGGTTTTACAATTCGTTCCACACATGTGCAGAATCTTGGTAAAAATATTTTTAAAAAATGACTTTCTCCATTACATCTTCAACCAGTCTACGAATAACACACTATTCATTTGTGATTTTTTCAAATCAGTATTTTGTGAAAATATTGTGTAATTTCAAGTTAATGTTTATAATACATAGTGTAGTGCATTACCATATCCTAATACCATGGATTATTAAAATTTTCCAATTTAACACTAAGATCAACTAATTGTAAGTACTAACTT